AGAATACAGTTAATGTGCTTTTAATTCTTCTCGATTAAATTCCAAATTAGAGAATTTCTTATACTGCATTGGGGTGAGATTAAAGTATGTTCAATTGCTTCTTAGTGCCTTTCAAATGGAATGGTTTGTTTCTTAGAAAAGAATATTTCTCATCCTATATTTTCCTTCAAAAGTAGAAGGGTGATAGTTTATTCTGTTCATGGATTTGTTATTTCAAAATGTCATTTCTTCTCTAATATTCTTTGGCCCAGTGACTCTAAAGTGGGTGTATATAGAAACAGGTGAATAGGTCAGACATCAATAAGGAAAGAGTTCTAACAAGAATTAACGACTGAGACATGTTGCTGAAGGTAATGGGGCAATTGTATATGATCCTTAAGTATAAATAATTAATGTTTGAATTGCTTGAATCCAATATATGGATGCCTGTAGACTTGTTTCATTTATTTAACTCTCTCTCTCTCTCTATTTTTCTCTCTCTCCCTCCCTCCCTCTCTCTACCTTTTCCAAAAATGTGTCCTATCTGCATAGAACCACAGAATCAAACAGGTGATTCAGAATTCTTCCTCCTGGGACTCTCAGATGATCCAGAACTGCAGCCTCTTCTGTTTGGGCTGTTCCTGTCCATGTACCTGGTGACCATGCTCGGGAACCTACTCATGATCCTGGCTGTCATCTCTGACTCCCACCTCCACACACCTATGTACTTCTTCCTTTCCAATTTGTCCTTGGCTGACATCAGTTTCAGCACCACGACAGTTCCCAAGATGCTGGTGAACCTGCAGACACACAGCAAATCCATCACCTATGCAGGCTGCCTAACTCAAGTTACCCTTTTCCCTCTTTTTACATGTATGGACAGTCTACTCCTGGCTGTAATGGCCTATGACCGGTTAGTGGCCATTTGTCAACCTCTACACTATTTAGTCGTCATGAGCCCCCGCCTCTGTGGCTTGTTGGTCCTTCTGTCATTTTCCATCAGCCTTTTGGTCTCTCAACTGCAATACTTGATGGTGTCACAACTTAGCTTCTGTGCAGATGTGGAAATCCCTCATTTCTTTTGTGACCCTTCTCAACTCTTCAACCTTGCCTGTTCTGACACCTCCACCAATGACATATTGATCTACTTTATTGGAGCCATCTTTGGTGGTGTCCCACTCTCAGGGATCCTTTTCTCTTACTATAGAATTGTGTCCTCCATTCTGAGAATCCCATCATCAGGTTCAAAATATAAAGCCTTCTCCACCTGCGGCTCTCACTTGTCAGTTGTTTGCTTATTTTATGGGACAGGCCTTGGTGTGTACCTCAGTTCCGCTGTGTCATCTTCCCTAAGGAAGGATGCGGTGGCCTCAGTGATGTACACTGTGGTCACCCCCATGCTGAACCCCTTCATCTACAGCCTGAGGAACAGAGACATCAAGAGTGCCCTATGGAGGATGGTCCAAAGAATAGGCTGATCTCAATACTTCTGCTATCATTTTTGTTCATAGGACTGGGAAAAGTAGCAAAATCAAACATATGCAACCAGAAATTCTGAATCAGCAGTCACACAGTGAAGATGTGCCTATATAAGTCTTTGCTTTCTGTTTACACACTTTTCCCTTTTAGCACAGCTGTAATGAAATTGGGAGATTATTTTGGACTACTACTTAAATCATAGCCCCTCCAGAATTATGCATAGTACGTTGGTATACCCTTCTCACTTTCCTTATGCATTACCCAGGATTCTCAGCCATGAGGAGTCTTGTTTCTATCATTATAAATAGAGAGCAAGTAGACAGATATGGGGAGGGGGGCATAGTGGTTGTGTGTGTGTCTGGGGCGGGGGGAGGTTGAGCAAAAAAGTGGGAGAACTAATAGACATGGACAACAGTGTGGAAATGATGGAGTGGAGGGGTGTGGATGGAGATGATAGAATGTATATGGGGAATAAATGCTGATGGGAAAGATAAAAGAAATGAAAAAGAAAAATATCATAGCTCTCTCTTTCTTGTTATTTATTCTTTCCATACTTTGCTCATGATTCTTCTCTCTTCTTCCATATTTTTGCTCCTTCATAATATTGGTCATATCCTTGAGAAAAATAGGATGTCTATTTAATTTCTTGTCCAAACCAGGGTATATTGAAATTGAAGTGGGACAGCATCAGTACTGAGTTTGAATAAATAGTTATCAACTGGGACTTTCTTAGCAAAACTGGGATATATGATTCCCAATATTCCTGATAATTCTTTTTCCCATTCCATTTAACATCTTCGCCATCAATTACATAGCCAGGCATGAAATTCAAATACTATTTAATTCCACTTATATGAAGCACCTAAAGTAGTCAGATTCATAGAGACAAAAAGTAGAATAGTGGTTGCCAGGTGGCAGCAATAACTGTAAGAGGCAAGGTAGATAGATGATTGAACAACAAATCCACAATGGCAACTGGGGTCGAAGAACTACAGGGATCTGTGATGGTGGCAACATATCATAAAGGAGAAGACATCAAACATACTGCTTAACTTGAAAGAATCAAAAATATCAAGGGCAAGTTAGAAAAAGTCATATGTCAGCTACCACAATTGAAAGCCATTTATTCATCTTCCAATTTCCAACCCGAAGTCTGTTTTCCTACTCAAATCCTGGAGATCAATGGGGATTCTGTTATACCCTGTATCCCCCAAAGCCTCTCGGCATCATATACATAGAGTGGCAATTCTGTGGCTCAATTATTGCTCTTCTGAATTATAATACAGTGCTCTGTCCTGAAATCATACTTAGAGATATGTCCCTTTCAGCCAGATTTTGTCACTCTTTGGACTCTTATATTTGAGTTTTGGTGAATTCACCTACAAAATTAGACTAGACTGAATAACTTACTAGCACCTGACCAAATATAATATTCTGAGTCTTATAGTTTTCCTATCTTCACTGATACATTTTTATAGCTTATTTTGGAAATAAACTAACAAACATATGGAGAAAAGTTCAACCTCACTAATAACCAAATAAATAACGAATCCACCAGAATATTTTCTATTGGACATATAATGTTACATGATAAACTCTGAGACATGATTTAAGTCCTGTGAGGGCAAAGTTTTTAATCTTTTTTTCTTCTTCACTGCTGTATTCCCAACACCTACAACAGCATGGCACACCAAAAGTGCTCAATAATTATTGTTGAATAAGTGACTCTAGTAAGAAGTAACAATGGTTCTCAATAAAATGCACTATGTCGTAATTCTTATTCAGCTGTTCCAAGCTGATTCTTGAAGTGGCTGGTCTCGACCTGCAGGGCTGGAAATCCAAACTGAGGTGCAATAATGGATAAGTAAAAGGAAAGTATGAGGAGAGTAGAACTGAGCGTAACAGAGGATTCACCATAATAGGTTAAGACAGAACTTAAAAGGCAATTGTAACCAAAGTCACTTGCAGAGAATTGGATGACAGGCAAAATCCAATGGGATTAAGAGGTGGGATTTCTTTAGCCAACTGCTACTACCACTGTCAGCCTAAAATCCCCAGACAAATGTTCCCATTTATTGAACATAGAATGTTCTCCAAAGAACTTTTTGCAGAGCCCTCTTCATGTCCCTGTTCCGCAGGCTATAGATGAAGGGGTTCAGCATTGGGGTGACCACAGTGTACATCACCGAGGCAATCATGCCCCTCCAGGAAGATGCATTAGAACTGAGATACACACCAAGGCCTGTCCCATAGAATAAAGAAACCACAGACAGGTGGGACCCACAGGTAGAAAATGCTTTATATTTCCCATCTGCTGATGGGATTCTCAGGATTGAGGAGACAATTTGAATATAGGAGAAAAGGATGCCTGAGAAGGGAATAATGCCCAGAAGGCCAGTCACCGTATACAGCACGATGTGATTGATGAGTGTGTCTGAGCAGGCGAGCGTGAGGGCCTGAGCAAGTTCACAGTAAAAGTGTGAAATCGCCCAGTTGGTACAGAAAGACAGCCGCAACATCAACAGACTCTGGATCAGGGAGTATGTGAAGCTAATGAACCAGGACACAAGAACCAGCTGGCCACAGAGACGGGGGTTCATGATGACTGGGTAGTGTAAGGGGTGACAGATGGCCACAAACCGATCATAGGCCATCACAGTGAGGAGAAAAGTGTCCATACCTCCAAAAACCAGGAAGAAATATATCTGAGTGATGCAGCCTGCATAAGTGATGGCTTTGCTGTGTGCCTGGATGTTCACCAGCATCTTCGGGATGGTGGTGGAGGTGAAACAGATGTCAACCAAGGACAGGTTGGAGAGAAAGAAGTACATGGGCGTGTGGAGGTGGGGGTCAGAGCTGACGGCTAAGATAATGAGCAGGTTCCCGAGCATGATGACCACAAACATGGACAGGAACAGTCCAAACAGGATGGGTTGATGCTCCGAGTCTTGGGAAAATCCCAGCAGCCAAAAATCTGAAACACTTGTTTGATTTCCTGGTTCCATGTTGCTGACACATCAGCTAGATGTTTGAGGAAAGAAAATAACATGAAATAGACACTTGACAGACTCTAGATTACTTCTACTTTAAAATTTTTTTGAAGTCAATCACTGGGCATAAAAGCCTTAACTACAAAATTTAGGAATTCATTATTCTGCTATTAGTTACATGCAGTATTTTGTAATGTTGATCAACCCTTGCCCATTATCCTCTGGAACACTCATACATCTTCATCTCTGGCTTAGCATTATCTCTAAACAGCTAAGAGCAACTTTGGGCCTCAGAGAAGAAATGGTTGTACTCACTCTAACACAAATGTGGAGCATGAGGTCTGGTGAAGCTCAGTAACTTGATTTGCATTGCCTGCCTTCTCTGGGACTCAGAAAAGCGTCCATGTCTCAGAGGTAGGAAAATTTGACAGTATCTCAAATATCTGGACAGAGTACTGGAGGATGAGTAGAATGTAGGTTTACTTCTCAAGGAAAAGAAAAAAGAAAAACAAAAGAAAATATTTTCACCAAATAAGAAACCACATTCACAAATGCTTAACGCTTAATCTACCAGGGACCAGTCACACCTGGACATTTGTCATTTGACCAAATACCCTTCATCTGTGAAGTTAAGAGATTGGTTAAAATGCATAAGGAAAGCCCTAACTCAGTTCTTCTCAACCATCTGGCCCTTTAAATACAGTTCCTCATGTTGTGACCCAACCATAAAATTATTTTCGTTGCTACTTCATAACTGTAATGTTGCTAATGTTATGAATCGTAATGTAAGTATCTGATATGCAGGATGGTCTTAGGCGACCCTGTGAAAGGGTTGTTCGACCGTCAAAGGGTCGTGACCCACAGGTTGAGAACCGCTGCCCTAACTGGTTTGGCTCAGTGGATAGAGCATTGGCTTGTGGACTGAAAGGTCCCAGGTTCAATTCTGATCAAGGGCATGTACTTTGGTTTCGGGCACATCCCTAGTAGGGGGTGTTCAGGAGGCAGCTGATCGATATGTTTCTAACTCTCTATCCTTTTCCCTTCCTCTCTGTAAAAAATCAATAAAAATATATTTTTTAAAAAATGCCCAAGGAAAGAGCAGATTTCAAGGCTTAAACCATTGCAGGACCCTAAGGCACAGCTTACAAAGGTCATGCAATACACAATTTTGAGTCATGTCACCTCTACTATTCATTGAATACTAGGGGAAGGAGAAATTGCACCAGGATTTTCACATATGAGCCTGAAAGGATGAGATTCAGATTTGGCACGCACATGTGGGTGATGCTTAGAATGGGCTGGGAGCATGGGGACACTCATCCAGAGCCCATCTACCCTCTGACTCTTTTTTTTTTTTTAATATATTTTATTGATTTTCTACAGAGAGAAAGGGAGAGAGATAGAGAGTCAGAAACATTGATGAGAGAGAAACATCGATCAGCTGCCTCCTGCACATCTCCCACTGGGGATATGCCCACAACCCAGGTACATGCCCTTGACCGGAATCGAACCCGGGACCCTTCAGTCCGCAGACCGACGCTCTATCCACTGAGCCAAACCGGTTTCGGCCCTTCTGACTCTCTTCACTCCAAGTCCTAAGGGTCTTGTAAACAAGGAATGGGTCCTATAACCAGGGTCAAGGAACAGCATAACACCATACATGGATCGTCAGTGTTCCGTTTTACCTTGTTAAAAGTATTTTTCTGCACTTGCTATTCTGTAATTCCCCTAACCACAAGAGAGACCACCATTGGCTGTCATCATTGTCAGTCTTCTTTAGTATAAAAATCAAAGTGGGAGGGTAGAGGTTTAAAAAGGACAAACTTACTGTACTGGATTTTTGAAATTTACTAAAAGAGTAGATCTTAAAAGTTCCCATCACACAGACACACAAAAGAATGTTTGTAACTTGGCAAGAGAGAGCTATACAGGAAAGTGAATAACAACATCCATTCTTTTACCTGTGGTACAGGACCCCCAGAGCCTGGGAACGAGAGAGCCAGAAGATAGGCAGACACTGGCAAAATGCCCCCTCTCTCCATCTCCTCAGTGCTGCTTTAAGCATCACCTCATGTCTGACCCTCATCCTTTTGGACTAATATGCAAACATCCTGGTGCAATTTCTCTCTTCTTTCATGTACACCAGGTCCTCAAATAACATTATTTCATTCAACATTGTTTTGTTATAACATTGATGAGATGCATAGGAACTTAACTCTTGTTTGTAGCAATTAGATTAGCCTATGGTAAAATTGGTGTTGTTACATATTGCTTCTTCACAGTCCAGGAACCTATTGAGGAAATTAAGAGAGGGCTTAGTGTATTTCATGAGCACCATGGAGGGTAACATTAAAATTCTTTCCATGATATTTGCTGATTTGAGGAATGGTTAAAGAAGGGGTCATCCTCTGAATCTGGAATGTGTTCTCAGATGCTCATTGCTTCCTCGGAGGAAGAGATGAATGGCCCATAGGAACCTTCCAGGTTTAAGAAAGATGTGTGTTTAAGGAAGGGAAGAATGTAATTATTTGGCCAAAGAGATTATTTTATACCTAGGATTATAAAATATTTCTTTCTTGAGCCAAATAAAGAGATTGAGACCGTGAAAAATATTCAATGAAAAAAATCATGGGCATGAGGAAGAGAAATTAATGAGACTGCATCTTATTCTAATGGACAAAGCCGGGGGGCTGGTTACTGCAGGGTTTTTCTTAGGTTCTTGGAATTCAAATCCACTACAATGATTTTCCTCCCATATGTCCCACTTGGAGTTGCAGAAGCAACTGAGTTATGCTTTAAATGGGTCATGAAATGAGTAATCACATTTATCTTAAGAAAGAGTTTCCCACACAATAGAAACCTTTTACCTTGTGACCAGAGGTTAGAAATCAGAAGTGGAGAAAACAGCCATTTGTCACTTACGCGTTCCTCTTTACCCATGCACCAAATACATATGTCCTATCCTGTTTCTACAATCTAATGTCAGTGAGCAATTCTGTTGAGCCATGCTGGGAAGTAGAGAACTGAACCAGGCTGTTTGTCAGGCACAGAAAAACTTTTGGAAGCCACTTGGCAAGGAGGGCTTCTTTGGGACACGGTCCTTATCCCCAGGGAGCCCACCTTCCAGAGATGGATGCACAAACAGGTCATCGTAATACAGTGAATCAAATGGTAAGATGAAGGCATCAGGAGAGAGTAGTGCCTAGAGGAGCACCAAATCCAGCCTGGACTGATGGAATCAGGAAAGAATTCCTGAAGGAAGAGATTGCTGGGCAAGTAGTTATACAGGTGGATTACTGAGTAGGGTCCTTCCTTGCAGAGAAGAGAGCAAAGGGGAAAGTCTATAAGCAAGAGGCGGCATGGGACAGAGTGCTTTTAACAATTTTCTCAAGCATTCAGTGGGAGATGGGAACGGTGAAGAATTAGGTTAGAGAGGTGACCTGGGAACCTTCAAAAGAAGAATGAATAAGGAATGGGGATTGTGGGGGAACTGCAACCAAAGGAGTGATGTGATTTATATCACAATTTTCCTTTGTGTCTTGAGTGAAAGATGGATTTAAAGCCAACAAAACTAAAAGCACAAGGAAAAGGATGGGGGAACTCTCACACCATTAGAGTTGAAGAGCCAACTCACTTGTTTTAAAGAAGAGGAACAAAGACCAAAAGGGGTGAAGAAATAATTCTGATCTTGCTAATGTTTCCATATCCCTGATTAAGGATGAGACCTGACACCCAAATGGAATCAAGGGGAACTGTGGGAAAGGGACATGTGAGTTTTAATGTTTCCTAGAATTCCCAGAGCAAAAGTGTAAGATGTCAATAAGGGGCTAGATGTTGGACTTTCCTACATCCTTTCCTTTTCCTGTCTCGCCCACCATACTCCAGTCTGTATACACTGTGGTCCCAGATACCAGGGACCTCAGACCCTTCCCTCTTGAAGATCCCTAATAACAACAAGGATAAGGGTGCATGCAGGAGGATGGGAAGGAAATACAATTTTTTTAGAAACAGGAGATGTTCCCTAGTAAAGGAGGGTGGCAAAGAAGAATTATGAAAGATTTGTCTAGGTTGAGTGAAGATGGAGGCTCTGGAGCTCTTGGACCAGGTAACAAGAGAAAAGAAGAGATCTAGAAACTATAAAGGACCTAACTCTCTATCAGCACCCGGGGCATCCATTTGTAAAACAAACACTGGTAACTATACCAATATATAGTGTGTTTCTAGAAAGTGCTATGGTGTCAGAGTGGACTGGGGTTTTAGCCTTTTCCTCCCCCTTCCCATAATTTCCACCAACCATCTAATCAAATTCTATATAACAGAAATAAACACTCCTCATGCAATGGTAACTTCAAACAAGGAGTCTAACCATTCACCCTCTCAAGCAAGTAACCTCCAGAGCTCATTCTCCATAGACAGCATAGGGTTTCCCCTGCCCTTTGTTAACAACAGTCAATACACTATTCACTCCACCACCTCATTTCCCTCTTTCCTACAACTTACTGGGCTCTGCAGGCTTGGCAATGTGGACCCACCTTAGGGACCAACTTCCCTGAATCTTGTTCTTTCATGGAAGTTGGTGATGAAGAAAGGTCTGTCCATCAAAAGAGCAGGGATACCGAGCCAGGCATATGGTATAGAGATTTGCGGATTTCTTCTGGAGAAGGCATGAGTGTCTTGGGTGTGGCATATGAGAGCCTTGGTTACTATAAGCTGATGTTACAGGTTTGTTGCCCTGGGGGCAGAATCCCCTTTGAAGCTTGTTAGACAAATTGATCAATGGATCTTTGATTCCCTTATCAGGTTGACTCCTCAGGGACAGGGGTCACAAAGGAAAAGGTCTCTGTCTTGCCAATTCCTTGTCCCTGGAGACAAACAAATGGACCAGCTGTTATTTTTTTTTTCCATTTGGATCTCTTTTCTCTGGAAAGAGTCACTCTAGTCTTTCTTGGATCTCCTATTGGGAGCAAGTGTCATCATTTTTGGACTTGCCGTTTCCTCACTGGAGAGATGGTTGAGTAGCAACGGGTCCCAGGATTCACTAGGGTAATGGTTCTCAATCATTAGCTTGCACTAAGATGACCTTGAGGATTTTTTAGAACAGATTTCAGAGTCCCATTCCCCAATATCTGTCTTGGTAGACCTGAGTTTGGATCTGATAATTAGAAATTTTCACAACCATATTTTGCTGGTTCCTATGACAATCCACTGAGACCCATTGCCCATTATGAGTAATGTTTCATAATTTTAGCTTTATCAAAACTATCAATTGAGGCTCTTGTTAATATATATATCTTCCCAAACTTATACTTCTTCTCAACTCATCTAGTTAACATCTCCAGGCAGAGAGTCTGAAAATCTACTTTTAAAAGAAAATGGCAATGGTTTTACTTTATTTTATTTATATGTTTATTATATATACTAGAGGCCCGGTGCACAAAAATTTGTGCACTCGGTGGTGTGGGGGGAGGTCCCTCAGCCCGGCCTGTGCCCTCTCTCAGTCTGGGACCCCTTGGGGGATGACCACCTGCTGACTTAGGCATGCTCCCTGGGGGATTGGGCCTAAGCTGGCAATCAGACATCCCTCTGGCAG